AGTGTGTGAAGAGGACTCTCCATTTACATGCACAAACTGGAGTCTATTAGATAGATATGATACAAACCACTGCAGCACAGTACCTGTAATACCTACAGCCTGGTTGGAGATTGGCCTGTAGTTAGCAAAGAGCTGTGTGAACAGATGACTTTTACTCAGAAAGATCAATTGGAAAAACAGTCTAAATGAACATCAATGGTACTAAGAGTAGCTGTAGATAATATTACATCTGTGGGATGATTATGGTAGTTGCTCAAGGGACACTCACAGGGATCATTCTGTGTAGTAGAAGAGTCACATGACCTGTGAAACGCCTGTTTTTACTGAAGCAGAGTTCATATTCAGCGTGGGGATGATGGAGCTAAAGCAGAGAAACGGCTAACACGTGTTGAACTTTGTCCGTAGCCACACCCCTTAGGTGATTTACTCCGAGGGGTGGAGCTTCACACTGTAAAGAGGTTTAGATTGGCTTAAACTGTTTTGCGCTTCATGATGTTTAAATTAAAGCATTTGAAACACACTTGACCATCTCTGCTTCTCAGTGAGGAGGTGCAGGTGAAAAGTGAACATGTTATAGACGTGTGAGGAAAAACCTGCTTAAACAGGACTGTGGGGATTGGCACTAAGGGGCCACTGTAGGGGGCGCTGTGCAGGGCAAACACATTTACTGCTGGCAGTAATAGGAACATATCCAGGGTTGCACATAAGTGGTCCGCAGGTGCGCATTTGTTGTCAAAATAAAAAACACGCACCAGATAAGAAGCTGCAACGCGCGTCCATAAGATTCTCTGGAGAGGGACAGACATTTGTTTAGAACTAGGTGTCGAAGAAGCAAGCCGCTTTGGTGTTCCTCCACCTCAGGAGTCAGGAGTCCGAACCGCAAAAGAAGCGCGTATTCTCGGAAGGGTGGTTGCAGGAGGTGAGCTGGCTTCAAACCAATGGTGAACACACAGAAAGGAGATGGAGGGAAAATAAAAATACTATTAACCATCAAATATTTTGCGAGCAACTTAAAATGTACAATAATACATTAAGGAATTCAAGAAACTCATACTTCGCCAAAATAATCAGTAATAACAAAAATAATCCCAAGGTCCTCTTTTCCACCATAGATCATTTATTTAACCCTGATTTTAAAAGCTCCAAAAGAAGCCCACAGACTCACTCTGTGAGCAGTTTGCAGACCACTTCAGGGGAAAGGTCAGCGCCATCAGATCTGATATTTTATCTAATCGCGATATGTTTGTAAACACATCTGAGGGCTCGATTGTACCTGAGGAGACACTGGACAGCTTTGTCCTGGTTAATGCTGAGAACCTTCAGAAAGTTTTCTCCACAGTGAGACCCACCACATGTCTTTTAGATCCAATCCC